ATCCTATTATTCTATGTTCTCGATCAAGGGTCTCCAACCTTGGCCACTTTGTGGACTTCAACTCCCAGAATTCCTCAGCCAGCATAGCTGGTTGGAGAATTCTGGGAGTTGAAGTCCACAAGTCTTAAAGTGGTCCAGTTTGGGGACCTCTGGCCTAGTCTGATGGACCTTATGTGGATGACCCCAGAACCAAGTGGGGAAAGTCCTTTGTGTGGTTTCCATTCAGTGAAGTCCTGTCAACCCAGTGAAGTTGAACAAGCTCTTTTCTTGGACTTTGCTTGTCCAGATCACGACACAGGTTGCAGATGTCCCCACTGTGAGTGTAGTTACCTTCAAGGTGTTCGAAACTGCGCATTCTGGAACAGATTAGGCATTGTGCAGATAGGCCCAGGTGGTTGTTGATGGTGCCATCACAACAGCACTTAGCATTAGCAGTTATATATCACTTTCACTATGGTTTACAGCCCTCTCTAAGCGGTTTACAGAGTCAGCCTCTTGCCCCCAACAATCTCGGTCCTCATTTTACCCACCTCGGAAGGATGGAAGGCTAAGTCAACCTTGAGCCGGTCAGGATCAAACTGCTGGCAGTGGGCAGAGTCAGCTGGCAATTGTGCTTTCTAGCCGCCGTGCCACTATGGCTCTTTTCAAACATTCTGAAACTGGCCCTCTTGAGTCGGGGTCATCGCGGCCTGCTGCTTTCTTTTCTCCTCCTGCCTCTGCTAATCCTGGTTTCTGCTCTACTTCTTTTGTGCCTTCGGGAAGGAAAAGCTGAGCTCACCGCCGAGAGCCTCATACCAGGCCTCGAAGCGCCTGTGCCCCAGCTCCCATCCTTGCAGGCGGATTCGGTGGCTTCGAGCAGAACAGGTTGGTGAGGCGGCTTGGGCTGGGTCACTCAAGGAATGGAGTGTTCTGACCAAGGCTTATTGAGACACTAACAAACACGGTCCCAAAACCTTTTTTCTTTATTTCAACGGCTGTGAATTTTAGTCATTTATAGCCCATAACGAGTCTCAACAGTTTGTAAATAGTCCCATGGAAGTCTGCCAAAGTCCTTCAGGATAAGTCTGATAAGCACCCACCTTTATCTCTCTTGAAATGCTGCCAACGACAATTGCCCATTAGCTGAACAAGGCCAAACGGACCCCCAAATCCAACACGGAGCTTCAGATTTTAAACCAACCGGAACAAACAAAGTTGCTTCCTGCAAAGGATCCTGTCCCTTTGCTCCTCCTTTATGGGAGGGGCCAATCACCTCCAAGCCCTACCCCTTTTGTCTCAACTGTTCTTGCCTTCTGGCAGCTCTGCGCATACGGGCACTGGGAACAGGCTCCCCTTGTTCCTCTGCCTCGCTGCTGCCAGACTCTGAAGACTACAGAGTCAGCACATAACTCCCAGATGGCCCTGGCTCCTTTCTTGGCAGCCTTTTGCTTTAACCTTTAGTCCATCCTAAGTTCTGCTACTAGAACTAGACCTTTCCTGGCATGCTGGAGCTACAACGGGTGCAAAATATTCGGCTGCTACTATCCCTGGTCTTACATTTGAGCCGATAAATCTCTTAGAATCTGTCCCGAGTTAAGAGGAATTCCAGTCACCCGAAATTAGAACAAGTACCACTGCATTTCCCAGGAGGCTGATTTGAAAACCAGAATCCTTTGTCTATATAAACACCTTTGTGTGTGTGTGTGTGTGTGTGTGTGTGTGTTCGTTCGCCTTTAGATGTTTCTGTGGGCTCCCCCTCTCTCTCCAGATGTTTGGGATTTCTCTGACTCAGGGATTGGAGGAAATATTAGTTAGATAATAAGATTTCTTCCCTTAGCTTTGTTTCTGTAACTTGAAATAGCTTATAACTTCCCTGTATGTGTCCAGGGGTGTCTATAGGAGGGTCAAAAAAGAAAGTGGCAGCCACAGGTGTGCAATCAAAGCCTCACCTAGAACAGTTGAACACCTCCAACTTTGGCAACTCCAACTTTTAACTTTCCCAAGGAGTTGAAGTCCACAAGTCTTAAAGTTGCCAAGGTTGGAGACCCCTGACCTAGAACACGAGTGAGGCACTTTAGTCCCAGTTCAGGTCATTATTATTTTTTTTTTAAAAGGATAGCTCTCCAGACAGGACCCTGGGTTGCAAACCAGTCCCTAGCCAAGGGAGCAGCCATTTCCTTGCTCTTCTCTGTGCTGTGTTCTGCTACTCTTTGCTTCTTCTCCTGGTTCCAGATTCAATCACTGTGGATGACTCCTTGCTTGATTGCTCTCTGCTTTCTAACCCTGGCACTGATCTCCTGGACGAGTTTGCTCCTTTAGCGGTTTCATCCCAAACTCACAAAGGTAAAAAAAACACACCCCTTTTTAGGGTTTCATTTGGAGGAGGAAGAGACAAAAAACAAAAACCAAGGAAGGTCTGAATCAATCATGGTGGAATGCAGGCATGTGCGTGTAAGAATATTCCTCGGTCAGCGATTTCTGCTCAAAGCTTCAGTGCCCTTCCAAGGGTATCAAGAGCTGGCAATGAGGCGGAAGCACTTGTGGCATCTTGAATGGGGTATCCAGTCAGCTGCTGGCTGTCAGGATTCCGGCAGTTCCCCCCAATTAAATCGTGAGTCTTGAGCCAAACTCCAAAACTTCCAAAGGATTGATTGGGAGTTAACATGTCCGGCGCTGCCTGGGTACAGCCGACTCTAAGACACATCATTCATTGTCACCCTTGGCCCTGATTTTCCACCACCACCACCCCCTGGGTGTATCGTAATTCATATTCTCCAATGGGACACATCCATAGCCAAGAGTCATCAATCACATTCTCCAGTTAGGATTTTGCGTGGCAGAAACTTCAGTCACCTAGTGACTATCTTTGAAAAACATTTATGGAATGCACTTTCGATTTCCAAGCTGCCGCACTGCTCTTTCAAACCCCCTTCCCCCCTCCCTTTCCGTTGGCAACTCTACAAAGACCATAGGAATATTTTATGAGTTGACACTCTTCACAAGGAGAACCTGTGGTGGGAAACTCCTGTGTTATAAAATCTCCACATGTATTTGAGGAGCAGAGTGAGATCCGTTGTACAAAGGATGTCTAACCTGCATGTGAATCCAAGCCTTTTTATCACTGCATTCTCTCAACTCGGCTCCCTGTGGAAATGTTCTCACCGCTAACCCTCTGGTGCCACTTGGCTATTTTCTCTCAGAGGAGCGACTTCCGCTGCTGCTTCCCTCCCATATAATTTCCATATTCATCTGCTTCTCTCTTTTCCCCAGTTTTTCCAAACACCCGCTTTGCTTTAGCCGTTTGCCATTCTGCCTTCCTATCTCCCCCCCACCTCCTTGGCAGCAAAACACATACGGCAAATGTTGTTTTGGTGGGTTCTAACCAGCTTTCTCTGCTCTTTTTCGTCCTTTTAAAATTCCACCCCACCCCACCCCACCCATCATGCTGCAGAAGATACTAACCTGATATCAGGCTTTGATGTCCCTGGGGGCTCTGAAAAAGTGGCAGAAGATGAGTTTGACCCCATCCCTGTGTTAATATCCAAAAATTCACAAGGTAAGCAGCTAGATCTCAAGGGAGAAGCCTTGTGGCAGTGTGTTTGTATGCAGTTGTTTCTGCACACCCAGAATTCTGTGATGCATTTGTTGGTTTCACGTTCTTTAGAGCGTCTGGTAGGACTAGGTTATTTTCAGATCTCAAACCTGTTTATGGGGCAAAGGTAGAATTGACCATTCTCAAGTGCTTTAACAGTTGGACTTTTTGGACTTAGGGAAACTGTTACATTGAAACTCTAGTTCAGGGGTCTTCAAACTTGGCAGCTTTAAGACTTGTGGACTTCCACTCCTAGAATTCTTCCTCCAGTCATGTTAGCTCAGGAATTCTGGGAGTGGAAGTCCACAAGTCTTAAAGCTGCCAAGTTTGAAGAGCTTTGCTCTAGTTTTAAAAAAAACACAGCTGTCCTTCCTTCTGTGCTTGCCAGGCGATTAACGTTTCCAGGACCCCACCTTTTGGTTATTACTTGACATAACTTGTGGGGTTCTTCTTCCATTCTCCAAAGCAGTGTTGCCACCAAGTGGTTGAGAGTCAAAAGATCTGGCTTCCACCAGACCTTTGCGCTAAATCTCTGCTGACCCGAATCCCAGCTGCTGAGCTTTGGTGGGAGGTCCAGAGTATGAATTCCCTTCCTAGGTGCTTCAGGTAGAACATTGAAGGAGTCTTATCATCGGAGGGATTCACCGTGGGGGATCTTTTGTCATAAAAGGACGAGTGGAGGAGACCCGTTGGATTCCCCCATTATCCTCACTCCAGATTCTCAATTTTGTTTCTGTTCTTTCCTCTGAGAGGAAGAAGTCCAAAGCCATCAAGGGTCCTTTGGGCAAAGCCAAGATCCATCCCGCCCTGCTTAATGGTAATGCCCGGAGGGGATGACTGAGCCAGAAGAACCAGTTAAATTGCTTAGTTAAACCAGTTAAAAGGAGGAAGAAGTTGCAGGTCCAGCCTCCGGTTCCTCCTCTTGCTTCTGATGTTGAGTTCTGTTGCTTCGGGCTACTTTGATTGACGGCTTGACATTTGGAAATCCCTCTTTGGCCTCAATGTCGGAGAACCTCTGCAAAAGTTCTCCCTCCAGGCAGCAATTCTAAGGGAGCCAAAGCTTGGATAGATACCTCCTAGAACAGAGGTCCCCAACCTTGGCCACTTTAAGGCTTGTGGACTTTGCTGGCTGAGGAACTCTGGGAGTTGAAGTCCACACGTCTTAAAAGGGGCCAAGGTTGGAGACCCCTGACTTAGATGACCCTTCT